AACTAATTTTTGAAAAGCAAACAATAAACAGTGCATAAAGCAAACTGATATAATTGGACAGGTTCCCGTTTATTTTATGGAAGATAGCATTGATCATCATAATATCTGTTAAGCCTAATAACCTTTTCATCTAATCTAATGGAAAATGCACAGAAATGCTGCTGTGCACATTAAGGTTTGAGAAATACTGATGTGCAATTTTAGTATTTCAGGTGAGAAATATTTTTTTTTTTAAACAGATTGCCCTGTCCCCCTATAGTTTAGCACAGAGGTCCCCAACCTTTTGGGCACCAGGGACCGGTTCCGTGGAGAAAGGTTTTTCCGTGGACCAGTGATTGCGTGGTTTTGTGTGCTGCCTGCATCCCACAGATGGAGCTTTGCTTGTTTGTGTGGACCAGTTGCTGGCATGCCGTGACCCGGTACTGGTCCACGGACCAGGGGTTGGGGACCCCTGGTTTAGCATATTTTGCCAATAACTGTGTACTTGTCTTTCATGTAGTGTATAGTTTTAAAAGATTAAAAAGTATTGTGTGTTTGGGGGGAGAAAAAGCCAGGGTGTTACATTCTCTGTATAATTGTTGATGTCTAATGAACATCAAAGCATTTTGCTTTCATTGAGGTCTTGACTGTCAAACACTACTGTGCTCAGTGTGCGTTTAAAAAAAAGTGTTTTCAACTTCAAATATTTCTAAAAACATTCATATGCAGTTCCAGAATTATATTTTTAGCTAATCTTGGCCAACAGAAGTTGTTGTTTAGATCAGAAAAGGGTGCATTATGTATATATTATTTTTTCCTTTTTATAACATGCATATTTTGTTAATTAGCTACATAATATGGGACTTTAATTGTTTGGCTCTGTAGCGAATATAGTGAAGTTTTTATGCTGCTTCTTTTTTTCTTTAGTAAACCTTAACATGTATGGCATCTTAGATTGTGAGACTGTTTGGAGGAAACAGCTGAAAGTTAGATATGTGTTTCCTGTAGAAGATCAAGATGATGAATATCTTTGAAGGTAGCTAAATTCTGTGACATAGCAGTGTCTGAACATGATAAGCAGCTGTGCTTAGTTCCTACTCTGCATAAATTGCACATATTGCAATAAATTTCTAGAATTAAAAACTTCAGATAATCCTTGCTAACAACCACAATTGGCACTAGCAACTAGTTCCAATGGCTAAGCACTGCAGTCACTAACTGAAAAATCAGTGACCATGCTAGGCTTACAGTGTTACTTTCCATTTTCATTGTTAAGCAAATAATTGAAATTGTTACACGAGATATCATATGACTGCAACATGCGTTTTCACTTCCACAATCTCCATTAATTGTGCTTGTTGGAAGCTCATTGGTAAACTCACAAATGGTGATCACATGACCGTTGGATACTGCAATCCCTATAAATGTAAGTATTGGGTCACAAAGTTGTTTTTTTTCCAACCATTAAATTCTTTTTTCAATGTCCCATATGAAATAAAGTTATCTTGCTTCCCTCATATGAAATAATGGTGGTTAATGGTTTTAAACATTGCAATTTCCAAGTTGCCTCCCACCCACCATAATAATAATAATAATAATAATAATAATAACAACAACAACAATAACAATAATAATAATAAAGTTGGAAAGGACCTTGGAGGTTATCTAGTCCAACCCATTGCACAGGCAGGAAACCCTATACCATTTCAGACAAAAGAATAAAGGCATATTGTTATATATTACTGGATTTTTTTATATTGCACCTTGGGAGGCTAGAAATAAAAACCCGAATTTTAAAGCATTTATATATTTAGCTATGACATGCTTTTTATGTTGCCCGTACTTTCTCCATTATAGCTCAAGCATAAGAAAAATCGTTCTCAGAAAAACAGTCACTGTATATTCCAATCCATGGGCAGAACTTGACAAGACACTGATTATAGCAGTGCAATCATAGATTAGGGTAAATATCAAAACAACAATAATTCCCATCAGGATATGATGAAAATCACTCTTCTGAACACATTTAAGGGAATAGGCGTTTTCCTTAAAATGCAAATTTGACCTTTGGAGAAACTGCTTCCTCATTCATATACTGTATAAGAGCAAACCCTGGACTAGAATAACTTTAAGCTAAGCTGCTTTGTTTCAGTTAAAATTATTTAACATCATAGTTAAAAACATAATGATTTATTATTATACATTATTTAAATAATTGCACTAACTAATATTTATGTTTAATTCATTTGTTACACAAAAATAAATGTTAGGATTTGAAAATTGGAACTAATTTTGATAAATGAAGTCAGCACACTCCTTTTTCCAGGTCTAAAGCAGAGTTTAGAATGTGCTGTAACATTCTGTTCTATGTATTTTTCATTCTCCATTATCCAATGCTACATATTCTCTTTCTTGTTGTCTTCTCTAACACATCTCAGTGTAGTCTGCTGCATTGGTTGCTATTTCTATGCTCTACTTAAATATCCTTTCCACCAAATAGCTCCTTATGTTTCATGTGCTATCAATTTATTTTTGTCACAAATTCTAAATTACTTTTTTAATAGCTGAAATTTTATTCTATGAAGTGGCTAATTATTTTTCTTTTTTTCTACAACATTATTACAACTTCTGATCTGAATAATAAATAGAATGCTTTGATATTGTGAATTTGGCTTTGTAGACATGGCAGTAATTATATTTAACAGATTAAACTGTTGTCTAAAGGATGGAAAATTGGAGGGTGACATGATGGGATTTTAGTAAAGCTACTACTCAGCCTTATTAAAGGCTCAGAAGGATTCAATGGCTCAGCGGTTAAAGACACAGAGCTTGTCAGCTTGAAAGCTGACAGCCTGGGTTTGAGATCCGAATGCCGCACAAGGGGGGAAGCTCTTGTCCTTGCCCAGCTCCTGCCATCTAGCAGTTTGAAAGCATGCAAATGCGAGTAGATTAATAGGTCCCATTTTGGCGGGAAGGTAACAGCATTCTGTGCACCTTTGGCATGTAGCCATGATGTCCACATGACCACAAAAAATGCTGTCTTCCTTGGCCAAGAAACGGAAATGAGCACTGCCCCCTAGAGTCAGACATGACTAGGCAGGAAAATTAGTGGTATTTAAAGATCTTAATATTTTTAAAGAGCAGTTCTGTGAAATAGTTGTGTGTAGAAGAAAAAGCAATTATAGAAAAACTAAAGTTTGAACAAGAGGCCTTAAGTTTAGCATGTAAACCTTGATTTCAATGCTATAAGGACTTCCTAGGAAATAAGTCCCACTGAATTCCATTGTGACTATGAGTGAAGAAGCATGCATACAACTAGCATAAAGGTTACTTGTAACAAAAAAAAACCCAGGAGCTAGCTGATAATATAGCGTTTGTTCTGTTGATAACCTTCATGTGGAAGCAGTTAACAAAATATCTTTTAAATCTTATATCTTATCTTTATAGTGATATATTTATGATATTTTGCAATACTATGGTGAAGCTAAATTGGAAACTGTATTCGGTACAAGTAGTCCTTGACCTACACCGATTCAATCAGCAACTATTACAAAGCACTGAATGTAGGGTTTCTGAATGTGCACTGAATTCTTGGATTTCTGGCCCTGTGGTAACATGATTGCAA